TGCTGGGGTTTGCACTCAGGTCTCTGCAAGAGCAGCCAGTGCTCTTAACTGCTAAGCCATCTCTCTAGCCCCTATTTTTACTCTTTTTGAGACAGGGTCTCCCTGTAGCCCCAGCTGGCCTGAAACTCGCTATGTAGACCAGGCTGGGCTCGAACTCACAGAAATCGGCCTGCCTCTGCCTCCCGAGTGCTGGGAATAAAGGCGTGCACTACCATGCACGGCATCTTTGCAGTTTTTAAATTAAGACCACAGTAAGAAATCCTGTTACACAGGATCCAAGTATGCACTCTCTCATAGCACACCAGTGTAAGAAAGAATTCATTTGTGCTCTTTGGTCTAATATACTGTGTTTCAATGAATTATCATATTCTCTTCCATTAGGTTAAATTTAACAAATGATCAACATAGAATAAATGATATTTATGTATAGAATTCCTGTGCTGGGCTCTGTGTAGTTCATGCCTCATCCAATTAGTCTAAGAATTCACAAAAGGACTCAGAGATGTAGGAACCAGCCTGGCCTTGTTATATATCTAAAATATCAAGGACTTTTATGAGACTAGATCCTGAATGTAGGCACAAGTACTGGTATTAATTTGACCATCATATGGAAAGTATAAGAGAAAATCAATGTGTTTCTTTAAAAACTTTTTACTTATTAGTTCTATTTTATTTTATGTGTATGAGTGTATTGCTTGCATGTAAGTGCACCTATGTCATGCAATGCCCAGAGAGGTCAGAAGAGGGCGTCGGATCCTGTGGAACTGGAGTTATGGATGGTTGTTAACCACCATGTGGATACTAGGAATTGAACCCCAATCCTCTGCAAGAGCAACCAGTGCTCTTAACCACTGAGTCACATCTCCAGCCCCTAATGTGCTGCTTTTTATTTGGTCTTTTTGAGACAGGATCTTTCTATAGCCCCAGCTGTCCTGGAACTCACTATGTAGACCAGGCTGGCCTTGAACGCACAGAGATCTGCCTGCCTCTGCCTTCTGAATGCTGGGATTAAAGGCATGCACCACCATGCCTGGCGACCTATGTCTTTTTTTCTTTTTTTTGTCTTTTTGTGTTTTTGAGACAGGGTCTCTCTGTAGCCCTAGCTGCTCTGGAACTCACTGTGTAGACCAGGTTAGTCTTGAACTCACAGAGATTCACCTGCCTCTTCCTCCTGAGTGCTGGGATTAAAGGTGTTTGCTACCATACCCAGTTCCAATGTGCTGCTTTATTAGAGAAAAGTATACCTCTCTATGATCCTGGGGTCAGTACTGGACATAGCGTGCTTTCTGAAGGTGGTCTTTGAAAAAACCCCACCTCAGTAAAGAATCAATGGAGTTTCTGCCCTGCCATGTACATAAAATAGTTGAACCAAGTCAGAGAAAAAAAGGTCATGTAGCCATCTTATCCTCATAACCCATCCCAATGACATTCTTATACCATGGGTGGTCCAGGGAAGGACTTCATGAGCTCTCATATGCCAGATAATGTCAGATAATGTTCTCACCCTGGGATTTTATCTCCATGGGGTAAATAAAAAGACTACAGTATAGTATTCCTAGGGTGTCTGGGTAGCATAACCTGCCCTCTTTCTCCAAGCTTGAGCTCCCATCAGAAGACCCACAAGGCCAGGAATATGCATGTGAATAGAAGATATGTTGCTTCCCTGCTTGAGGCCTAGAGGTGATCTGTGGTACAGAAGACAGTCAGAAGAGGCCCTGCTGTAAACACTCTCTGAGTGAACACAAGATCATCTGCCCTGGTGCCACCTTTCATATCGTAAGTAGGGTTTTTGTTCAATCTGCACTTAAGAACCTTTCACTCACCTGCTTTCCTGGGGTGGCTGTGATCCGTGTCAGTGGCCCTCCTGCGATGTTGCTTCTTTCCAGGTTGCTACTTGCTCTCTTGCAGGGTAGTTCTCTATGGAAGTATCTAAACTGGGATGTTCAGGAAAAAGAAGTGAGGAACACAAGGGCCTGGGGTTCTGGTTTCTAAGAGGTTAAGGAGGGAGGAGGAGCTGGGAAGTATAGCCCGAACTTCCTGAATTTCCTTCCAGATCCCAGTCCACACACAGTCTTTGTTCTCTGTTCTGCAATTTCTAGATCAGAGTGCTGAAAGCTTGGTCCCCACAGGGAGGGGACTGCAGTGAGGGCAGATTTTGGTTTCTTTTCCAGGAAATGGCTGGCTGGCTTGTATAAATAAACTCAATGGGTTTCCCATCCTCCTTCAGGGTAGCAGAGCTTTGTGTGTATACACTGGCCTGAGTCCAACTCCAGGGTTTCCTGAGTCCACTCAGGATCCGTGATAGCCTAGCCCACCGTGAGGGTCTCCTGGGTCTAATCTTCCTGCTTCCCCACCTGCAGACCCCTGCTCAGATGATGTCATCTGATGCTGGGAAATAGTAATCTTCAGACCCAGTGAGCCCTGGCTCCTCAAATGGTTACAGACACTCACTATGACCTATGACCTTGTTCCCCATGCTTGTTGTCTTGGTTACTTCTTCACTTGCTTCCTCCCACCCAGTGGCAGTGTGCGTGTGTGTGTGTGTGTGTGTGTGTGTGTGTGTGTGTGTGTTGGTGTACATGTGTTTATAGGTGCACAGTGTATGTATGTGTCTAGAGGCTAGAGGACACTCTTGGATGTAGCTACTCAAACACATTCACCCTATTTTGAGACAAGTTCTCCTACTGGCTTGGACTTTGCCAATTAGGCTGGGCTAGTGAACTCCAGGGAACTGCCTTTCTCCTTCCTCAGTGCTGGGATTAGACTACATGCTTACTTCACCACACGTCTTTAACGAGTTCTGGGGCTCCAACTCAAGTCCTCTTTGATAGACTGTGTGAAGAGCCATGAGCCTAGTTAGAAAAGCAGTATAACCATAAGTCCCTTAGAGTGGCCAGCTGGCCCTAATTGGCAGGCTTGCCTTGCTCAGGTCTTACCAACTGGTTGCTCCCTGGACTGAGGGAGACGTTTATGGAGCCAACCTGTCTCCTTTAGTGCCCTAAGATAGCTCGCCTGCCTGAGAAAATAATCTTGGGAGAGAGGCCCTCAAGGACACCAGACCCTGGCATGGAGTTAACTCTTGCAGCTGTGTGCAGCAGAGCTCCTATAAAAGTGGAAACTGACCCTCCCTTCTGCGCAGATGTCCTCATTCCATGGAAGGGTTTTTTGGCCCTTGGCTGTGTTCTCTGAATGAAGGACACACTCCTTGCCTGCTGCAGGTCTGGCTCTGGTTCTTATTTCTTAACTTTAAACTCCTTCCTTTTCTGCCCTCCTAAATCTAACACTCCTACACGTGATGCAAACCACTTTGCTAATGTATTATCTCCCCAGTCCCCAGTGGCAGTTTTCGTAATGGAAAAAGTTGAGGGAGATTACAATTTTTGAACTCAGTGGACTTCTGAGTGGGGTTAGAGATTAGGTGACTTAACCATGGCATAAAAACACCAACATCTGTTTGATAATCACAATGAGGAAAGGGGGAAGAGCATCCTAGCAAAGGGTGAGTCAAGGCACAGGGAAGGGGAGTCATTTTGCTTTCAGAGGCTCAGGGCAGTTCTGCAGTTACTTTCACTGTCCTCCTGGTACTTTCTGCAAGTGCTTCCTAGAAGTCTGGGTAAAGAGGAGCTGCGGTGGAGAATAGAGCTGAGCCAATCCCACATTCAGGGTAGAGAGAGATAGCCCACAGGAGTAGGGAGAGGGAATCAGGGGCACTGGTGTGAACCCAGGGTCCTGAGCACAAGTTTGTCCTACTGAGGACTCACTATTGTCCGGCACTTTGGACAGTGTGACTCACTGATCCCTCTGCTGACACCCACATTGACCATCTCCCTTAGCTCACCCATGATACAATTTGTACCATTCTCTGGGACTCACTGCCTCTTCTCTGGTTAAAGAAACCCTTAACTTGTGCGATGTCCTCCATGCTTTATACTTCCTGTCTCTGCTCTGTCACCCAAGGCCTGGGTCCACATGCCTCCGCTCCCTGGGAATCCTCTCAGATTTCTCCACAGCTTAACACCTAGTCCCATGCCTCTCTTTTGAGTTCTTCCCTCCGCTGAGCTCCCCAGTGCCTGATTTCTCCTCTCCACTCACCCAGAAAGGGGTAAGGGCCGACCCCAGGCCCCAGCAAATCTGCACCTCACAGAGTGATCACTGAGCACTCTCTCCAACAATGGTTGTACCACCTGTTTTCTTTTTTCATTTAATTTCTTTTTTTTTTTCTGTTTTAAAACAATTGAGATGATAGTGCACATAAGTATCTGTATCATGACATAAATTACTAAAGTTGATTCCTATTAAATTCCGCACAGCTTTCATTAATCTCTCCACTTTTGAGTTCTTAAATGTCTTAATTCAGAATGCAAAAAGTTCATTTTTCACAGCTTACCTACATTCAGAAGCAGTTTGAAACTTCTACATTTCCTGCTCTTGTTGTTTTGCTTGTGGGCCTGAGCTTTTAAGCAGCTGCACCATCTCTCCAGCTCAACTTTCTTGTTCCTAAGAGCATAAACAGGAAGAAGCGTGGATGTAAGTGCAGGGGATGGTTTCAGGGTGACCCATGGCTGGTCCTGCTGAGCTCAATGCTGGGTGGAGTAATTCAAACACAGATTTAGGAACTAAACTAAAGAACAGTCAGTGAGGCAATGGTGGCCATGTCTGCAGGGAAGACCTTGGTAGGTAGAGAAGACTGGACTCTGGTGTTTATTCAGCCGTTGCTTCTCCTGTTAGATTTCTGAAGAACCGAGAAAGAATAAAGTTTAGGTAAAAAACAGACCAGAGCCAGACCTTTCAATAGACTGAACAGCGTTTATTCAGCGAGGTGGCAACAACCTCTCTGTGGTAATACAGGCTGTGTGAAGGTGGGAGGGAATTGTTGCAGATTTTACTTGACTGGAAGAAAGAAGGGCGCACACAGCCGTGGAGTCTGAGTTAAGGTGTCCTTGGGCCCTTTTAATGGAGCTGCTTGCTTCAGAGGACAAAGAAGCTGTTTCAGCTCGGATGGCTAGCTGACAATGGGTGCAAGGACAGCAGAGAGGCATCCTGGCAGGAGGGGTGGGTTGTCTGGCTTTTCTGAAGCTGTGGCATTCATTCCACCAGGCCTGAGACAGGGATATGGCTAACTGCTAACAGAGGGGCTGGGGTGAGACATCCATCCAGGGAACTTTTGGGTTCCATCACCGTCCTTCACACCTGTTTGCCTTGGATTTTCTTCCTCCAGACCTCTCTGCCTTCTCCTGAGAATTCCAGTTTCTGGTTAACAAATCCTCAACTATGTCCCTCCTGATGATTTATTTTCCTAGAATCCTACTCTGTTCTTTGTCTACTTTTTTTCCAGTCCTGTGAGTGGAACCCAGTCTCACCTATGCAGGGCCAGAGCTCTACCACTGAGCCACCTCCTCAGCATCACAGTGTTATTTAATGGAGTATGCACTGATTTGCATCTGTAATAATGCTGACTCAGGTTGGGGGCCAGCAACCCACTTCAGAGACCCCGTGCATAGCTGGTGCTGTTATGCCCTGGCTTGTCACTGCCAGCTTGTCAGGTGATGGAACAGCAAAATGTTCTTAACAATGTAGGGGAGGGGCAGGAGCACACCAAAAGATTTATTTTCCATCTGGAGAGAACTCACTATTCTCCCAGGTACAGTCACCCAAGCCCAGCTATCTGTCTCTCCACACCCGTGTCCCCACCCATACACATGTACACAGAGACAGACATGCACACATGGTATAGCTGCTCTTAGCTTCCCCGGGCATTTCTCATTGTTTGTTTCTTTACTTTTCTGTACCTTGTTGGACTGATGGGAATAATCAGTGATCACTTATTATCTAGGATGAGAATCACCACACTTTCAAACCTTGACATACTTCCTCCTGTGTGCAGTCAGAGAGCTGGAACTATTCTAGGCCACCATTTTCAAAGTCAACTGTTATTTCCTCATCAATCAGTAATTAATTATAGAAAGAAAGGGAAAAGTAACTATAAGACTGCACATGATAGGTGCTTTCTCTTGACCTCTGGTTCTGTGGTGTCCATTAGCACTGTCTCTCTGTTACCCTTTCCCTCATGTGATCGACAATGGCATCTTGACACAGTTTTGATCATTAATAATTTACCCCAGCTTTTCACTGTTCCAGGAAACTGTAGGATTCATGCTGGTTCATACCTGGGTGTTAATTTAGAGGTTAGTATGTATCCCAAGTGCTGGGTAATGTGTTACATATAAATGAACACACACTCACTACACATGCAGACACACACATACCTGTGCACACAGACATGCATATGCATGCGTGCAGATGCATCCTTGTATATATATGCAATAGATATAGAGCCTTGTACCTTCTGTTGGCCCAGGATAACGAAGACCCTCATTATTTCCTTTATAATTGAAGAAATGACCCTGTTGTCCCCCTCAGAAGCAGGTCACCAGGGCCAGGAATTTGGACACTTATCCCTGTCCCTGCTCTCACCCAGCTCTTCTGCATCTTTCTTTGTCTTGAGGACAGTATTCTACTATGACATACTGAACTACTTCCCCACCACACCTCCTCTGCTGTCATGTACTGGAATTCTCTGAAACTGCGAATGACACAATCTTTTCTCTCTTTAAGTTTTCTCTGTTAGGTATTTAGTTCACTATAAGGCAAAAGTAACTGGTAGAAACATTATTTAGATATAGACAGAGCTATAAGAGGATATGATTCTCAGCTGTTGCTTCTGCCTTTTTGAATATCCTAATACTGACTGAGCTAATCGTGCTTTTCCTCTTCTGTTCATGAAATCCTATGCCTGTTCATTCTTGTCTTCTGGCTGGAAAGCTATGAACATAGAAAATTACATTGGAATTCTAACAGTGTTATGTTACACATTCATAACAGTGAGAAAATAAAAAGAAACTAGGCGCCATGAGTGCTCAGGGGC